TTTCGGTCGTCTCTGCTTTGTTGCGGAGCGGGGAAAACGCATATGTCGCTACCTGTGTCGACTAAAAATTGCACTTTTGATCGTCCATCCGAAACAAACAGGTGACCGGGTAAGCTAAGGCAATCGTCTATCGCCATTAACGACCACCTTGACAGTTTTCCTGTTTATAGTCGCATGGATTGAGGCATATTTCTATGACACAGCATCCACTTACCATCGGGTGGACTGTGCGCACGTTTGTCACCCTTATTCTTTAAAAATAATAAATATCAGAAGTATATTGTCAATTAAAAGAGATAAGAGAAGATGCCAGAGCGTCAATTCAATTTGCTTGGCGTTTATTTATAAATTATAATACATAACAGACAATACGGTTCACGTTAAATAGAAAACGGTCAAGTAAACAACAACAATTACAATTTTTATTGATCATTATTCATCTTCATTATAACAGTCCACTGCTGAAAATATGCCTCGCCTAAATAAAATATGTTATGTAGCATACTACATAGGCATTCCATGAATTGCTATCCCGTTGCGTCCCATCATTATAATCATTACAGCCTTTCATAAGTCTACTGCTGAAAATAGGCTTCCCCCAAGGAATGCCACAAAGCACGGTCCTGAGCCACCTGCATCCATCGACTTTTGCATGTCTTACCACGTCGTCACTCCATCTCGTGGAGGGTCGCCCTACACTTCACCTACCGGTACGAGGCTGCCACTCAAGAACATTTCTTCCCCATCGATTGTCGGTTCTTCGAGCTATATGTCCGGCCCACTGCCACTTCAGCTTACTAATCCGTTGGGCTATGTCGGTTACTCTGGTTCTACTGCGGATATCCTCATTCCTAAGTTTATCACGCAGAGAAACTCCGAGCATAGCTCTCTCCATAGCTCGCTGAGCGACCTTGAGCTTCATCATACGGCCAGCAGTGAAGGACCCCGTCTCAGCTCCGTAAGTCATCACTGGCAACACGCACTGGTTGTACAATTTCGTTGTAAAGTTTTGAGGTATGTCTGACGAGAAGATGTGTCGTAGCTTCCCGAACGCTGCCCAGCCGAGTTGAATCCGTCGATTGACCTCTCGGTCAAAGTTGGACTTACCTAGTCGGACTATTTGTCCCAGGTATACATACTCGTCAACAACTTCGAGCTTAGTGCTCCCAACAACTATCGGCATAGGTGTGACGTGGACATTAAACATAATCATGTTCATCTTAAGACCTATCCGTTGGGAGACACTATTGAGGTGATTGAGCATAGTGCTTAGGTCCTCCAGCGATTCTGCCAAAAGTACTATATCGTCAGCAAATTGAAGGTGAGTGATGTACTCGCCATTGATGTTGATACCAGATCCTTTCCAGTCCAGAAGCTTGAAAACGTCTTCCAATGCCGCGGTTAAGAGTTTCGGGGATATAACGTCACCCTGTCTTAGACCTCTCTGCAGTTGGATAGGTTTCGTACTCTGGTTCTGTGCTCGGATAGCCATCGTAGCCCTACTGTACAAGCACTTCAGCACTTCGATATACCGACAGTCAACTTGGCTCCGCTGAAGGGACTGCAGCACTGCCCAAATTTCGACGGAATCAAAGGCTTTCTCATAGTCCACATACGCCAGGCATAGTGGCAAATTGTACTCCTCGGACTTCTGTACAACTTGCCGAAGGGTATGTATGTGGTTTATGGTGCTAAAGCCTTTTCGGAAACCGGCTTGTTCGGGAGGCTAGAAGTCGTCAAGTCTGCACGCGAGACGCTGTTTTCGAGAGTCATTACGACTCTCTCACGTAGACGTGGCTCAGAAGGGGAATCGGTCTGTAGTTCTTCAAGAGAGCATTGTCACCTTTCTTGAAGAACAAGACCACCGCACTTCTGCTCCACGCCTCCGGTGTAATGCCACCATGGAGTACGGAATTAAAGAGCCTCTGAAGTACTTCCGGTTTTCCACCCGCTTTTTTATATAAAATTGGGTGACAAACGAGCACACAGCCCACCTGATCATAAGTGGTTGCTGTGGCCCATAAACATCTACATTTATCCTCGTATGCGAATCAAAATGCAGATGCGTTGCCATCCGTGAGGACTAAGGTGGAATGCCTCGTTTCCAGTAAAAAGGGTCTCCGGTTCTCTACACTCACCATACGAAACACAGCAGTGTTAAACTGCTATTTGACGCTGGTATTCAGCTCCGCTGTATTTCCATCCTCGCCTGAGGCCTTGCCGTTTTTAAGATGCTGGAGAGCCATTCTAATCTCGCTCAGACTGACGTCCGGGATATCTTCGGAATAGTGTCGGATGAGACTCGCTCTTGGATCGGTCCTCACACTTGGGTTTGGCTCCAACGATGACGTGTACAGCTGTTCATAGAACCTTTCAATCTCACTCAAAATCTCAGGTGCCCCGGAAACGATGCTGCCACACTCGGTCTTCAGCTTTGACAGTTGGCTCTTTCTGGCAGACAGATCTCTGGAAAAGACTTTGGAGCCTTGGTTCCGCTTGATCGCTTCTTCAATAAAAGCTGTATTGAAGTTGCGTAAGTCCCGCCGCATGCATTTGGAGATCTGTGTGTTCAGTTGCCTGTATGCTGTCAAGTCTGTTGAAGAATGTAGCTTCAACTCCCATCTAACAGCCATGAGATTAAGATTGTGATCGGAGAGTTTTTGTGTTCTTCTGCGACGGGTCTTGCAGAACTTAGCTCTGACCGCATGAACAGTTTCCACGAACTTGCCATTCATATCGTCCACTTCATTGCAGTCTTCTAGGCACTGAAAACGGTTTTGTAACTCGAGCTGAAAGGTTTCAGGACTTTGGAACAGAGCACGAGGGGGACGGAGCGTTGATTTCATTAGACGAGACCTCTCCAACTTAACGTTTAGGTTCAGTGTGCCTGTAACCATTCGGTGATCGCTACCAGTTTTCACCCTCGCGGTCACGGAGACATCACTGAACAGTTGTCGTCTGGTCGTCATAATGAAGTCAATTTCATTTTTTGTCGAACCGTCGGGGCTCGACCAGGTCCACTTTCTGTGGGGCCGCTTCTGGAAGAAAGAGTTCATCATAAAGAGTCTCTCTTTCTCCATGAATTCGGCCAGCTGCTGGCCCCTTGGGTTCCGTTGCCCTATTCCAAATTTCCCTACTTTCAGCTCACCGTTCTGTCTTGTGCCTACTTCTGCATTGAAGTCTCCCCAGAGAGTCAGAGTAAAATAGAAACACCATTTTAGTCTGACGACATTAGGCTGTAATGATGATGATGATGACTCACAAAAACATGAATACTATGCTTACCCTTTAAATAACACCCATATAGTAATATCAAAATAAATAGTGGTTTTTGCCAAAGTTGCTACGCTTATGGCAACCAAGGTTTTTTGTGGCCTTTGACCAGGTTCTATAGAAAGATGCTGCTGCTTATCTCCTGGTGTTTCTATTTTACTCTGACAACATTACGCCACCATACGCGACGCAACGGGATAGCAATTCATGGAATGCCTATGTAGTATGTTACATTTTTTTTTATAGGATAAGGGTGACAAACGAGCACACAGTCCACCCGATGGCAAGTGGTTGCTGCGGCCCATAGACATCTACATCTATCCTCTGTTACAAATCAAAATGTAGATGCGTTGTCACCCGTGAGGACTAAGATGGAATGCCTCATTTCCAGTAAAAAGGGCCTCCGGCCACCTGCACTCACCAAGCGAAACGCAGAGGTAAACCTCTACTTCACGCTGGTTTTCTGTGAGGTCGTGGTACTACCCCGGTTCGAGCCGGCCCATCCGTGCGACAGCATAAGCTGCCGCGTGGCTCTACCACTGTTTAAAATACTGTTTAATATATTTTATTTAGGCGAGGCCTATTTCCAGCAGTGGACTGTTATAATGATGATGAATAATGATCAATAAAAATTGTAATTTTTGTTGTTTACTTGTATCACTGTAATGACGTCAGGCCCTAGTTAGAATCACAGTGCACAGTTGCTTATGCAATCTCCTCTTTGTATTTGCTCCGTGATGTTACCCAACAATTTTGGTTTTAATTGTACTTGGGAAGTAAGCTTGCTAATCAATCAATACATATTTTAACAAAGTTCCGGAACTGCATACATTTGTAGTGCACTGCGTACAAATAAATTGGCGCAAAATCATACTTAAATTCTCGATACGCACTGATGCACATACTTTCTTATTTCTTTCTTTAACAGGCCTTAAAAGTTAACTGTTGAACTTACACATATTTATCTAAAACAATGTTACTGGTTGCAAATAATATTAGATAAATAAGTAGATGGGTGCCTACTTTTAAAGTTAGTTGAGCATAGTTATGGCTTACTTTTTGCTTCTCGTGAAATGTTTGCAGCGCTCAATCTTTCTTTTTTTATCTATGATTAGTAATCAATAAATAATCAATACAAAATTAAGGATCAATACTTTACCGCATCTTTTTATTCGTAAATTGTTTTCTCCGGTACTAAAATAATCTTCCATCCACCAACTAATACGAAAGATTTTGAAGAACCTACTACTATTTTATACTTATAATTATTAACTGTGCACTATTATAACATAGAATATCGATAGAAACTATTGTTAAACTTATAAATATCCGATCGTAAAATATTGTTATTATATATTATACTTTACCGCGATATTTATTTATTTATTTAATAACAACCTATTTACAAAAGTTCATTGATACCCTGGCCCCTGAGCTAGTGTAACTGTGTTTCAGGAACCAGTTCCTCCCCTGAGAGTTAGTCTTGTCAAAAGGTCAATTTCTATATACTTATAATAATTTAGTTATTTTGTAAGTTAAACAAGTACAGAAATATAAATAAGAAATTAAAAAATATTTGAATAAATTAAGAACTGAAAATATAAATTACATTACGTTTTAATAGCTATAGAGTCGGTTTAATTAAAATCTGCTTACCATTAATATTTTTAATACAAAACCTTAAACTAAAACGTATGTTTAATATTTGTAAAATAATACAAGCATATCTAATTTGATTTTTCATTGACTGATCCGTTTGTCACAAATTTTTTACTTTTCGAATTATGTTTGTTTTTATTAAAATAAGAGTTGACGTAGAATTCAGCAAAAAGATAAACAAATAATGAAGCATTTAGAAGAATTGCTGCTAATAATGTATATGAAGGTGGACACCCTGAATAAACGTAATTCACTGCCGCGTGTAATATTATGCACATGAACTGCAACTGGAAAAAAGACAATCATTATAATGTGTATGTCAGTATTAGCATGATATATGCATTAAAACTAAATTTTATAACATACTAAAAGACCAAATATGGTAGCAAACAAATAATATTCTAAATTTTATCATACTAATGAAATTTTATTAAATCTTCCTAGTACACTTAAATTTACATGTTATTCTCTTAATCGGATAACAATTACCCTGTACGTTACCTAAGGTCACTGACTACCACTAAAATCAAATATCACGCAAATACTTTAAGTAGTTTTAGCATGAACCGTGAATGTACAGACAGGGAGACAAAATTTCTTAAAGCTTATTGACTTTCCGAAATTTTGTTGATTTCAGTATTCTTTAATTAGTCGCCCTGGGCTTGTTTTTAAATTCTGTAAGAGTATAATTACAATTTTAACGTGGTAGAGTCAAACTGCAGCTGTTAGTAGAACTACAAAAGCGTAAAATATCAGCATAGTGTTGCTGTGTTTCTTAGGGTGAATGTAGAGGACTGGAGGACCTTTTGACTGGTAACTTAATTCCATATTATTCCTCAGAGTGGGCAACGCATCCACATTTTGATTCTTAATAGAGGATAGATATAGGTATCTCTGGGTTTCAGCATCCACTTACCATCAGGTAGAATGTGCTCAATCTTAATTTAAGAAAAAATTGCAGACGCAGATTATCTACAGATTTATTATAATATGTATACACATATGTATCACCGTGTTGTGGTAGCGTAAGATAATCAACTACCCATATAATTAGCAGCTTAACACAGCCGTGTTTCGTATGGTGAGTGTAGAGAACCGGAAACCCTTTTTACTGGAAAAGAGGCTTTCCATCTTAGTCCTCACGGGTGACAACGCATCTGCATTTTGATTCACAAACGAGAATAAATGTAGATTTCTATGGGTGATAGCATCCACTTACCATCAGATGGACTGTGTGCTCGTTTGTGACCCTATCTTATGAAAAAATGAAATTTCGTTAACAGGAGACGAGCAAGCACGGTAATTATGGAGAAATCCGTATAAGGCCATTTATGAGCAACGTCTAAGTTTAGTAATGGACTGTTGGTAGGCTTAATTTACATATGACTATGGCTGCCCCATATATAGCCACAAAGTACGGTCCTTAGCCACTTGCGTGTTTCATCAGGTCGTTACTACTTATTACAACACTCCATATTTCAGTACGATTATGCTAGTCGAGAACCTTTCGTTCGCAAAGTTTGTCGGTTTTTTAAGCAATATGGCTAGTTATTGTTTATATATATATATATATATATATATATATATATATATATATATATTTATATATATATAAATATATATATATATATATATAAATATATATATATATATATATATATATATATATATATATATATATATATTCAGCCAGCAGTGAAAAACCATGATTTAGTTCAGTAAGTCATCACTGCTAGCACTCACTGGATGCACATTTTCGTCTGACAATACTGAGGTACATCGAACAAGAAGGTTTGTCGAACAGTTTCACGAACGGAGCCCAGTCGAGTTATATTCGTCAGTTAGCCACTTGGTCTAAATTGTATTATTATAATAATAAAAGCTATTATTTAATTACTACTTACAATTTGTATCAAAGTAATATACTTTTTCCACCACAAATATTTGTTTAGGTCAGGGAACGCTGATAACGCATAATAGATATACATAATTATATGAACGAAGGAGTTAATCGTCCCAAGGAATATGACACTGTACGAAGGTTCATATTTCAAAGCAATCCAAGAGCACCACATCATCGAAGAATGGTGATATATATGTAAGAATGTGACCTGACGATAATTCTTGCGTAAGACAAAGAATATCGTATCCATCAACTCCGTTACTTTGGCGAAGAAGTAATAGTAGATGCTAGTTGATAACTGAAAATAAATAACGGATTCAATATGTTGTTTTAAAGTCAGCAGGTGGAATCAAATGTGAAAAATGCAAAAACAAAATACATTTAATTTAAGAACTTTCCAAGGACTATATTGTACAAATTTTCATTCCCATCGTTAGTCGGTTCATCGCGGTATATAGCCGACCCATTGCTACTTCATGTCTCACTTTTACATAATGTCGGTATTGTCTACATGCAATAGTTACACACATTTGATTTTGTGGAATACATATTAACATGTTCGATTCCCACCCAGGACAAATGTTTGTGTGATGAACACGATCATTTTGTTCTGTGTCTGGGTGTAATTTATCTATAATATTTATGTATTTAGAAATATATAAGTATGTTTATCAGTTGTCTAGTACCCATAACACAAGCTCTGCTTAGCTTGGGACTAGATGACGTTGTGTGTAAAAAAAAGAAAAAAAAAAAAACATGTTATTATCTCCCGAACACTGCTAAGCTGAGTTGAATCCATCAAATGACCTCTTGCTCGAAGTTGAATTTTTGTAATCGGTAAATTTATCGTAGAAAAACATACCCATTAACAAATTAAAAAAATGGTGTAACATGGATTTTGCACAAAAGCTTTTGTCGTTATCTGACGACTTTTCCGTTGGGAGGAACTATTGAGGTCGTTGAGCATTACTTTTATAAAACTGAAGTGACAAACAAACCATAATGTTAAGTAACTCCTGCAGTCTATTGTCACTCTTTAGGACTAAAATTGAATTCCTCGCCACCTGTAATACTGAATGCAAATTTATTGTCACATCACTACAGCCCCTCACAAGTCCACCGCTGAACATAGGCCTCCCCCAAGGAACACCACAAAGCACGGTCCTGAGCCACCAGCATTCATCGACCCTCCGAATGTTCCACCAGGTCGTCACTCCATCTCGTGAGGGGTCGCCCCACACTTCGCCTACCGGTACGAGCCTGCCACTCAAGAACCTTTCTTCCCCATCGGTTGTCGGTTCTTCGAGCTATATGGCCGGCCCATTGCCACTTCAGCTTACAAATCCGTTGGGCTATGTCGGTCACTCTGGTTCTACTGCGGATATCCTCATTTCTAAGTTTATCACGCAGAGAAACTCTGAGCGACCTTGAGCTTCTTCATACGGCCAACAGTGAAGGACCACGTCTCAGATCCGTAAGCCATCACTGGGAACACGCACTGGTTGTATAATTTCGTTTTAAGGTTTTGAGGAATGTCTGACGAAAAGATGTGTCGTAGTTTCCCGAACGCTGCCCAGCCGAGTTGAATCCGTCGACTGACCTCTCGGTCGAAGTTGGACTTACCTAGTCGGACTATTTGTCCCAGGTAAACATACTCGTCAAAAACTTCGAGCTTAGTGCTCCCAACAACTACCGGTATAGGTGTGACATGGACATTAAACATAATCTTTGTTTTGTCCATGTTCATCTTAAGACCTATCCGTTGGGAGACACTATTGAGGTCATTGAGCATAGTGCTTAGGTCCTCCGGCAATTCTGCCATAAGAACTATATCGTCGGCAAATTGAAGGTGAGTGATGTACTCGCCATTGATGTTAATACCGTATCCTTTCCAGTCCAGAAGCTTGAAAACGTCTTCCAAACAAATTTATTGTAGTCAAAGAGAAATAGAGCAAACACGGGCTGGAGAGGTGGCTTCTCTCTAATATATATTGAACAAGGCTTGTGGCATATGTGTAATATTTATTACACATATGCTTGTGCTTCCAGCAATTACCGGTCTTCATCAAAATTGACGTCAATTTAAGAAATGCTTAAAATTTATCTCTCTTTTCACTAAATGAAAATAGAAAGAGATAATAAATACTTAATTTGCAACTTACATTCCATCGCGAATCTTCTTTATCCATTAGACATGATGAACCCAGCAGTCCATTATATAAAATTAGTCTGGAACCCTAAAAAGTGATCAAACAAACATAAGCATAGCTCTAGAATACTTTGGGGTAAATATGATACAAGGGAGACACTGAAAAGTTTTTAGAACTGGCCACTTGTAAACGATATAATAAAAAATAATTTAAAATTTTGAAAATGAAACTCTTTGCTAATATTATTGTGTACGTATTTTATTATTTTGTCATTTATTTATGATTTGGCTGCAAATTGAAAATTGTCTGTATCACGCCAGCATGATTTTAACGCGAGAAAATGTTCGTATAATGATTTTTTATGACTTTCGATAGACTTTTATTGGCCTTTTACGATGAAGCCCCATCTCGTGCCATTGTTTACAACTGGTTTAATGAGTTAAAACGTGGTCGCAGTAATCTCACCGATGATCTGCGTGAAGGATGGCATTCTACGGTGACGACTGAAGATAACATCAGTGTTGTGCGGCTTATGATAGAGACTGACAAAAGAGTGACTTATCAGAAGATTCGGACAAGCTTAGGCATTGATGTGAGCCAAGTGTACAAAATCCTGCATGAACATTTAGCGTTCAGGAAGATTTGTGCCAGGTGGATACCGCATAATTTCACAGAGGCCAAAAGCTTCGTCGTGTTGATTGGTGTCGTGAAATGGTTCAAAGATTTAACGAAGGTAACTCAAATGCTGTCTTCGACATACTTACGGGTGATAAAAGCTGGATAGCCCCGACTTTGAGATTTTTATTTATTTCCGAAAATAAAAGAAAAACTTCGATGAAAACGTTTTATGGATGCCGAGGAAGCAATGGCTGCGTTTCAAAATGCCGTCAAAGAGACCTCTAAGGACGAGTGGGCAAAGTGCTTTTCTCAGTGGTTCCATCAGATGCAGCGATGTATTGATGTAAATGGACACTATTTTGAAAAGAAATAATAATGCTTATAACTTGCTAGTTTGCTCAGTTTTTGATTGTCTAAGAATTTTCAGTGTCACTCCCGTATATAGCAAAAACGAAACTAATTTTACGGGATTTTTTGCGTTTAATTTAAACTTTTTATTTTCTGACGTTTCGCGTATTGTAATAAAGCATTTAATTTATTTCGTGTATGTTGTTCGCGTAAATTTAAAGAAAAGAATAGAATAAAATAATTTTTATTCAATATAGAATACTAGAATACTAACTAAAAGTCATTTTTTACTTTTACCACTGGTTCAAAAAAAACTTTGTCCTAGAAAAGAACAGTAAAAAGAACCAGTGGGACTTTTTTTAAATAAAATCTATTTAAATATATAATCTTATAAAATTGGTACGAGTACATTAGAAACAGCATGGTAGCGATCAACTGATTCCCAGGGGTTAATATAAATCATATACTATTTAGTAGTATACATTATAAAAAATTAGTGCTAAATAAAAATTTGAAACTTTTTGATAGATAAGGCCTGCATATTTTTCGGGACTTATAAAAACGTTTAAATTGCCCCATGAAGGAATAACTGACTGAAGTCGAGCAACCAGTATAACTAGCTTGTGCTTGTTCCTAGTATTTACAGAATGTCCATCACTATTTTTCATAAAACTATTTTTGCTTTTGTGTACATACATTAATTTGTCGTAAATATATTGAGAGGCCAAAGTATATACTTATTTATTTATTTTTCATTTTTCTCCAAGGAATTCTTTCGGACCTATATTATAAATTGCCTGTATAGTCAGATCATTCACATTACTTAATAGCAAGATTCCATATGACGATATGCTATAGAAATAACTAAAATAAACTAGTCTAGCAGTTTGGACACATTTCAAGCCTCTAATCTTTTTTTACATCATATGCTGCAGAACTAAATTTGCTAGTTACTTTAGATATATCAGGGCCCCATTGAAGCTTCGCGTTAACTGTAATTCCGAAAAAAGCATTGGAGTTATTAGTTATCAAGCGACCCCCTTTAAAACCAAACTGATTTAAATGGAGCAATTTATTGTAGATTTAAGTAAAGGTATAACTTTTTTTAATAGAGTAAGGGAAACAAACGAGCACACAGTCGACCTGATGGTAGATGAATTCTCTGGCCCATAGACGTCTACATTTTTATCATCCAGGGAATTAAAGGTTCAAATGATTCTGACTCGGAAGATGAAGAAAATAAAGGAGGATCAAAAGATGTGACAGAAGAAGACGTAAGGGACACTAGAGCAACCAGAACCAGTACAAGCAATTGAGAGCCAATCAGGAGCAACGAACCGAGATTAGATAGTCACATCAATGAACCGAGTTGTTCTGGAATTCCTTCCGTAAAAAAGGGAAGAAAACGTTGTATTTTAAAAATACTATATTGTTTACTAAAATATATTATCAATAATTATTTTGAATTTTTTTTATTTATTTATAGTTTCTGCTTTAACCTTATTTTTAGATACAAATAAATGTAATACTATTTCATCATGATGAAAGTATAAAAATGTAAGTAAATTTAAAAATTCTAAAGATATAGCTTAGAAAACAAAAGATGTCTCGACAACTGAATACAATTTTTATTATAAATAAAATAACTGGGATTTAGTAATATAAATATCGTATAAAATTACTTTAATTTCCATTACCGCATCTCTTATAGTTTATTTCTAAATATTTATTTCTTGACAAAAAAGAGGCCGCTTTCATTTCAATACCGTGTTATATTTAAGTGTTATAAAAAATTAAAGAAAATTATTTTCAATAGGTACTTTCTTGTTATATATGGCTGTTTTTGTATTTTTTTTCTTTCAGGAAAAAATAAACCGTGGGTTAAAATTGATTGTAAAAAATTGTTAACTTAATAAGCAATTAAAGTATTTATAAAATTGTTAACTTATAGAGAAAAAAATACCAATTATTATTTTAAAGAAAATAATCCTACTTAATTATTTAAATAACACTACTATAAAAAAAACGATTATAAACAATTAAAAAAAATATTACAGGAAATTATATTATGTAAATATCATCATATTGCCATGACAATAATATTTTATTAAATTATTTATCTTGTCTATTTGTTTATAAAAAAGTTCTCTTAAAAAACAACGTAAAAAATTCCTGTGTAAACAATGTCATTGTTAAATGCAAAAACAGCAATATAATTACGTGTCAAAAAAATTTAACAAACTTTTTTTGAATATTTATAATTTTTTTTGGCCGACCGAAAGCGAAACGAAGAGATTCGCAATATGGCAGGTTTGAAAGATGACCTTATCACAAAAATTGATAAGGGCGTGCTTCGGTGGTTTGGGCACGTTGAGCGAATGAGTGAAGACCGAATGGTGAAGAAAATATATAGCGCGAAAGTTAATATTAAAAGGTGTCGAGGTAGACCGAGACTAACTTTCGAAGACCATGTGAGCAAATTGCTCGAAGAGGGTAGGGTCAAAAGTACTCGGATACCTAGACGTGCATGCATGAAGAAGATAATGAATCTGAAAGAAGCGAAAGAGGTTTGTAAGGATCGTGACACTTGGCGATCTGTTCTCTCTGGCTACCCCGTCAGGGATTGTGCGTGAAGATAAATAAGTAAGTAAGTAAGTTTTTGAATATTTCACTTTTTGGTCATTTTAAAAAATTATAACAAACAAAATATAAAATTTTAATAAAATTTTATCGTGTGATATTATTAATTATATATATAAGAAAGACTCCTAGAAGTAAAAAATTATAGTCCAATTATTTAAAATTTTATGTCTACTTTTGTAAAAACACAGTTTGGAAAAATAATTGTCACTCAACAATCGTATATCTTTTGAAATATCGACATTATTTTTCTAACATGGCTTTATCTATTTAAGTGTTTAGATGACTATAATTATTTCGAATTTTAAATTATTATTAATACGAGGGTGGATTGAAAAGTACTCGGCCTAACCAAGAAAATAAACAAATACTAAATCAGTTATATTTTTATTTTTCTACATAATCACCATCAAGTTCAATACACTTTTGCCACCTCCCCTTCCAAGCATTTAGACCGTTGAAAAAAAATGATTCTTCCTTAGAGTCAAAATATGCGTCTACAGCTGCTTTGACCTCGTCGTTTGTCGAAAATCTTTGACCTCCCAAGTGCTTTTTTAGGTTAGGGAACAGAAAGAAGTCTGATGGTGCCAGATCAGGTGAATATGGCGGATGCGGTAACAGTTCAAAGCCACAGTTGTGAATTTCAGCCATTGACTGTACTGACGTGTGAACACGGGCGTTATCTTGATGAAACAGGACTTTTCTTCTGAGCATTCCTCGACGTTTTTCTTTTATTTCCTCTCGTAAACGACGTAGTAAGGTGCAGTAGTAATCAGAGTTTATATTCTGACCCCTTTCAAGATAATCAATCATAATCACACCTTTCGAGTCCCAGAATACTGAAGCCATCACCTTATTTGCCGACAAAATCGACTTAGCCTTTTTAGGGGGTCGTGAACCAGGTCTTCTCCACTGTTTTGATTGTTGTTTTGTTTCCGATGTACAGTAATGAACCCATGTTTCGTCCATAGTAACAAAACGATTCAAAAAATCATCTGCATCGGCTTCAAATAACTCCAAACAGTCGCGTGAAATAGTCAATCGCGTCCTTTTTTGTTCAACTGAAAGCAGTCGCGGAACCCACCTCGCAGACACCTTGTGGAAACCCAACTCGTTGACAATGATGTTTTGAGTTCGTTCATAAGAGATGCCTATAATCTCGGCTATCTCTCTAATTTTTAATCTGCGGTCTCCCATTATTAAATCAAGTACTTTTTTTAATATTTTCGTCAGTAGTTGACGTCGAAGGCCTTCCAGAGCGGGGTTCATCTTTCACACTCTCTCTACCACGCTTAAATTCTGCTATCCATTTTTTGACGGATGAATATGACAGAGCACAATCGCCTAATGTACTGACCATGTCATCATGGATGGCTTTTGATGATAGCCCCTTCTTATGGAGGTACTTAATGACGGCACGCTGCTCGATTTGCTCCATTCGCGGAAATTATGTCCGATTACTTTGTTAATAAATTTATAAAATCACAACTAATTATCGCACACGTTTCGAACTTCACACAATGAACTAGTCTGAACTGAACTAAATAATGTGGGTAGATTTGATTTTTAGAATTGAATGGATCTGTGTTAGGCCGAGTACTTTTCAATCCACCCTCGTACTATGAAAAAAAAAATGTGATATACCGTCTTCAGCGGCGAAGCGCCCGTGCCATAGCGGCCGCTTGAAGTCCTATTTTTTTTTATTTAGAAATTAAGACAGTAGAGGTAATCTCTAGCAGTTATAATAATTTAAATAATTTAGAAAGTAGCCTAAAAATGCCTAATTGTATGAGTCCACATAGTCTTAATAAAAATTATTTAACCTGGTGTATCAAAATATACAAGGCATTATAGGCAATGAGCTAAAATTTAATTGTTCCTAAACAGCAACAATATTTATAATTTATATATTACTTAGCATTGTTTAAGAGCTTATAACTTAATGTTTAACTTCATTAATCACCAGGTGGTTAGTTCGTTCAATAGAAAAACGGTTTTAAGAGGTACCTCCTTAATATTAGCTAGTAAATTATTATCATGTAACGAATGTAAAGATATTGTGAGCCTCTCTGTTGAGCGAACTGTACAAATGGCATTTGTTGATACCCATGGTGATGATGAACATGGAGGAAGTTTTTGTTAAGCTTAGGAAACAGAATAAATATGTTGTAATATGTGAAGACTTAAATATCAATCTTCTAGAAGCTTCCTCCACCGATATTAAATTTAGAGCAGTCTTAATAATTTAATTTTAGAGCCAACGTGTAATGCTAAATCTAGTGCGGCATGTATAGATAACATTAGTAGAAATGTTATTACCTTACAAGATAGGGGATAATCATGATATAGTATTATTTGCTGATGACACTTCTTCAATTTTTAAATTTAAATGATGATGACTAAAATATGACGAAGTAAATAATGCTATATCTAAATTAGTAAATTGGTTTAATGTTTTGCATTTAAATGGCACTAAAACGAAATGTATGAAATTCAAGCAGACTTAGTTCTGTAGCATATGCAAGACTGTTTACTTTAGCTATTATGTGTGGTATTTTGCTATTGGGATACGCTACTGACACTGAAATTATAGTTTTTGTGCAGAAGAGAGACATAAGAGCAATCTATGATTTAAAATCTAAAGAGTCACTGCGACAAAATTTAAGGAAATTAATACATTAACTTTGGCCTCTCAATACATATATGAAAATATACACAAAAATAAAAGTAGTTTTAAAAAAATAAGTGATATTTATTCTATAAATACCAGGAATAGACACAAGCAATAGCTTTTAAGTACCAGATATACGACTACACCGAGTCAGTAATTCATTTTTGGGGCGATGTATAATATTAAGGAATTTATGGATGATAATAACCCTTTCCCACTACAGAGATTTTTTGACCGAACCAGTGGCAATTAAAAGAAAAGAGTGACTTTCAATAAGTATTGTTTATAATCTATATGAAATAAAAATGTTTCTGTTTCTGTTTCTGTTTCCTTATAGATTACGTCATATCCGCACTATATGCCATATTTGTTATGCTTAACAGTTGAATTACCGACCGCAGTTTTTTTAGTTGTATAAGGAAGACTGTGCTGCCCATCCACTGGTTTTTACCCCTTTGTCGCCCCTTACGACACTAACGGAACAATTTGGGGTAGTGAATATCCTCAAACTGCTACTACACAGTCATTCCCAATACTCTTTATCAAAAATCTCCCCTCTCTGTTCTCAGCTCATTATTCTTAATTTATCTTATAGTGACGATATACTTACTCTGAATAATATAAAACAAGAATATGCCACTTGAAAAAAATTGTATATTATTATAATCCTTCTTAGTTCGAAAGGTTGTCTTAACTTCATAACTTTAGGGCCAAGTTTAAGTATAAACAATAAGTACGTTATTGACAAAAACATTAATGGTACCGGTGTTTTCATTAGAAACCATTCATCAACGTAGTCAACTGAAAGAAATGAAAATTAGCAATTGAAAAATTTTTAGGACTAATAATTGTTATACAGGATTATTTTAGAATATGCGGCCTAATTTGCAGAGGATGTTCTGAATTACTCCATATCGTCCCCTGGGTGTCACAAGAGGAAACAGAGTTAAATTGATACAGGTGATGGGCAGCAGTACCTTCCCGACAATAACTTAATAAAAACTGCAGTTGATAATCCGCTCGCCTAGCACGGTAATTATGGCAAATATCAATCTATAAGGCAATTTTTGAGGAAGGTCTAAGTTTAATAGTGGACTGTTGATAAGCTTACTTAAACCATTCACTGTCCCGTGTATTACATATAATTTATTGCTATTTTCTTTCTACTGTGTCTGTAAATTGGACAGTGGAAGTGTTAACATACGAGTATGACTCAGTAACTATAGCAAAATTATCTCTATGAGACTATCTATGGGGGACGCCTATGTTCAGCAGTTTACTTTTATAGGCTGAATTGGATGGATGAAAAAAATAGTAAATTATTATTAAAAACCAAACGCCCGAAGCTAAAGAAAACATATCAAACAAGTGGTAAAATTAAAAATTTTCTACAACCGACTTCAATTGTAATTAAAATGAGGACATCATCAATGTAGTCAAAGTTACGTAGCAATGTAGTAAATACGCGTTATTTAGGATAAATCAAAAACTACTACATAGATCTTGAACAAATTTATATGGGACCACATGAGAAGCACTAGCTTTCAAATAAAAAAAAGAATCACCAAAATGGGTTTACCTAGAAAAATGTTCTGAGGTAATACACGTTAAAAGAATACAGTCGAAATGCGTACCTCCCCCTTTTATTTGAGGTCGGTTAGAAATGGAAGACAGCGTGTCTTGCTGGTCTAAAGACCCGGCCACGGGAATGAGGTTGGATTTCCAGGGTGACGTCATAACCATAGTTTCATTTGCTTATATTATGTATACTATCACCGTGGAGTAGCGGCATAAGAAAAACCATTACCCGATGTGTATAGCACTTTTAAAGTAACTGTTAAAAATAAAATTTTATCGCAAGTTAGTGTTCTTTATATATAAATCGCTAAGTACTTGAAATTATTATTAATCTCTAGATAATAATATGGTGCTACACGAGTTAAATTACCACATAATAAAGCCACATAAAGCATACATAAAAATATAATATTTATCGTCCAATATGTTGCTAATTTAAAAAAAAAAAACGCCACAATATCCGTAAAATTAGTTGCATTTAATAGGTTACTTAGAGTGTATGTTTCAGTTAATTGGCAAACCGTTAATATAGATTGCCCCATAGAGGGTATATTTGCTATACAAGCCATGTTTGGCAGGCGTATAGCCAACCGCAGTCGTTTATTTTAGCTGTTAGTAAGTAGGCGCTGCTGCCCATCTCTTGGCTTGTCTCCCTCTGTCGCCTCTCACTACACTCATGCGACGACAATAAGAGGTAATGGATATTCTTACACTGCCACAACGTGGTACGACTGGTAAATACAATAATTAAAAAAAAATATAGATAAAACCATTGAGTTATATGTACTACGTACTAGAGAAGCCATTCCAAACAAAAATTGTGTCCTACTCTATATCTTCGCGCATGCCCGGGAGTAGTAGTCGCGCATGCGCGAAGACTTTAATTTAATATAAAATAAGATATTAATATAAAATAAATATAAGAATTTAATATAAAATATCTTAATTTAATCTAAACAAACATATTTCTAAATAAAATGTAATAATAATTATTTTATGGAATTCACAAACCTTCAATTTACGCAATATTTAGTTTGTATGGATTGCATTACAGTTCACTTGAACATAGTCAATGTTCGGAATGGCTTCTCTAGTACGTAGTACATATAACTCAATGGTAAAAACAATGAATTTAAAAAAAATCTTAACCTACGCAAAATCGAATAAATTAATATTACTTATTATTCTTTTCAATACATACTTAAAGTATTTGTTTTGCATGAAGAATTTATTAATTTTGATTGAATTTTGTCTTTTCCCGTTTTCTTGTGAGAAAATAAGTGCAAAACAACTAAATAATATCGTTATATAAAGATTTAAAAATTGCACATAAATCTCCTTACCTTTGCCTTTAAAATCCCAAAAACTTTGCTCCCAGAACGTTTCATTATTTGTTACGAGTTTTGGATCCATACCGGTTAATTATATCACTGTTATATTTATCAAAAGTACTTTTCAATACATCAGCACTGAGTTAAGGCAAATGTCTTACTCGTATGTGATAAACATTTTCTGTTCAGCTTTAAAATAGCTTATGTCCATTGTATACAGTAACTCAATGTCGAATTGTTTTGTTCTATTTGGTTCTATATATTTCGTATTGTTTGTGTTAGTAGTTAAGAAAATTATTTTATTTGCTTCTAAATGTACTCACATTTTTAATACCTGCTTAGAGCATCTGTCGCCTATTACCTTACTCAAGGGATGAAGAAACCATCTATGGGTTAGGAGATATCCTTACGCTACTACTACACGGCTCAGTAGCAAAAATATCCTCACCAGGTAGACATCCGCTGAGAACTGATAAAGTCTAATGGATCAGTAAGTGAGTGACGTTGGGTCGACCATATGTGTAAGAGAACAACCAATGGGAAAGAGGAGTTTTCATAATGACAGTCTCGCACTTATAAACGAAGTGTAGAGTGGCCCCCACTAGATGGAATGAAGACCTGGTAAGAGATGCAGTTGATGAATGTGGGTGACTCACGACCGTGTTTTATAGTTTTCTAGGGGAAGGACACTGTTAAGCATTGGTCATGTTAAGTGTTATGATGATTTTTCTATCACAAAATTGAGTTTAAAAAAAATCTTAAAATCTTGGAACTAACTTCAAACAAAGAAGGATGAAGATAGAATTCATCACAGGCTGTATTTATACTAACCCTCTACAGCTTTGAGTCCTTTGATGCTTGGTAGCAGAAATAGGTAAGAGGGTTAGTCCAACCCAGACGGGCCCCTAGGCTGAGAAGGAGAAGGAGAGGAAAATTAATTTGTTAAAAATTGTAGAGATTAATGCTTATTTCTAAAATATTAGTTATATTTTATATAAGTTACATTAGAATTTAATAAGCCAAACTACGGATATTCTTAAAATCAGAAAAATAAAAAAAAGATTCAAGAAAGTGTGAAAAAATAAAGGGCAAACCACTGAGACATTGTTTTATGTATTAACAATTACAGAAACTGATAAACTTTTATTTAAAACACAACGTATCAATTATAATTACATTGTGTACAAATAAGTTCACCTCACTTCCACCTAGCGACATCTGATGAGCGTAAGATTATTAGCCCTCTTTTTCGACATTGGAGAAAATAATAATAATTACTTTTTTTTGCTACGAAGAAGTTATCCTAGTTTCTTGAATGTTGTAAAATTAAAATGTTGACTGTCTCCCGTATTTTTTGTTCTTTTTTTTATAATGATTTCTTATATTTACGCAAACACTACACATTGAATAAAACTATTTTTACGGATTTTATCGCGTTTAATTTACTTATTTTATATTCCCGACGTTTCGGTTGCTTTCCAGCAACCGTGGTCACGGGGGACTGAGGTGATTGACGTCCCGATGTCAAAGTTAACCCGGAGTATCTTCAGCTTTTTAATTATTAATTTTGGTCCGATCTACGCAGAATGAACTAACTGTGTCTTGAAGTCTTACAGTGGTATGCTTGGGTTTACTTTTAATTTTATGAATTACAGGATCCCAAGCAGGTGGTAGTACCCAGCCTCCCTCTCTATTGAAATTAGGATGTTTTTTAATTTCAATAGCCTCACGTATCATCCTTGGCAGGAATCGATGTTCTTTCGCGAGGACTTGTGGTTTATCAAATCTAATGTAATGACGGGGGCTTTTTTTTTAATTAACTTTTCGAGCGTCCACATTGTTTTCTGTGGTGAGTAATCTATAATCAACGCGGCGAGCCATTTTATTGGTAAAGAGGCATTTCATCTTGGTGCTCAGAGGTGACAAAGAATTAGCGTTTTGATTCTTATGCTTATATGTAGGTGTATTTAAGTTACAGAAAAAACTTTACATCAGGACTGTGTGGTCGTTAGTGTACCTTATCCTCTTTCATTAAAAAAAGTTCTCTTCGTTAAATATTTAATAAAACACAGACCTTTGTGGAATAAACCTTTTTGGCCGCTATCCGTGAGCTCTTATTTGACTTTTCTGTGACTCTCCAGTCGACCTGACAACATTGACCGTATGTTGTAAAAAGATTGTATGATTCTGGTCGTTTCGTGATGATAGATAATAACCAGATTTTAGCTAATATAAATTATTTCCAGCTAAACAGATACTCCTTGAGCTGTTGTGTGCGTTCAACTCATTGAAATCTCCAAATTTTGTAGAATTTAGTTATCATGGTAAAAATGAGTATAATTTGGGATGTGATTAGTTCTACTTGCAATTTCAACTTACCCTGCGGTAACTAACTGTAAGTTCAATTTTACTTTTGTAAAGAACTATCGATCTTACGATTTTATTTGAATTTTTAAACCTTTATCAGATATTTATTACAAGTGCATAATCCGCGAATAAAGAATATCTGCGAAAACTTTAAGATGATAAGCTAGGTTTCTTTTCCAGATGTACAACTTTCGTAATGCATTTTTTTAACCTTCTAAGAACATAACCTGTGTATCTACGGTCTACGGAAACATTGCCCGCCCGAACCACCGAGATGTGCAAACGTGTTTAAGAGAATTATGTGTTAATTTTATTAAATTTAGTAAAGTTAAAAATCCACTTGCAATAATAGGAGCGCATAACTGAGACGACAACGTTTGTGTGTCGAAAAATAATGTACGAGTATGGACTTTAAGAACACGTCACGCCAGAACCTGTGTGAGTAACACTATATCTATTTAAAAATAAAGACAGAAAATTGTTTACTTACACTAATAACCTGAGTCAAAAAGAATACACAATATCATTGGAGCGTGGATCAAAATAAACTAGACGGTAAGAATATTTATATGAAGTTGTCGATTGCGGCCATTGAAATCAGACCTCTCTGGTAACACATTGTTTACCAGACACCGTATATAGTACGGCGTATTCGGTTATAATTAAACGCTAATAGTGGTCATATTCCTCAATCAGAGCTATCATACATATCCACTGTGACATCACTACCTATTTATTTTTCCTGTGAGCCTGATACTATAAACAATAATGCCTGTCGATCGTACGCCGCCTAAGACGCTAGCGCACTCTGATCACTCTGCGTCCGACCCAAATATTTGCACAAAGCTTGATGAGCCAGAACCTTGTACTATAACCAGCCGAACTAAGAGGAAAAGGGAAGAGAGTATAAAACAATCAGAATTTATTGAATTTAAAAGGGCATTCATAAAAATGTTATCTGAATTGAAAGAAGAACAACGGTTATACCTTGCATCTATTAGTTCAAGCATCGACGAAATCAAATCACAAAACAATAAATTACAGGAGTCCGTGGAGTTCATGTCTGAAAAAAAAAGATGAGGTGATACAAAAAATTTGCCATCTTGAGGAGGAGAGAAAAGAAGATCGGAAGTATATACAACTTCTAGAAGAAAAGGTAGAACACTTGGAACGGCAGTCCCGATCAACCAGTTTAGAAGTAAGAAATATACCAAAACAGGCATCTGAAAATAAACAAGATTTGACTGGTATTATTATTAATTTAGGTAAAGCCATTAATGTCCAATTTCAGCCATCAGAAATCAAGGATGTATTTCGAGTCAATTCCAAGACAACCAACAAACCAATAATTGCAGAGTTTACAAATGCCATAATAAAAGATATATTCCAAAAATCAATAAAAACTTTCAACAAGAATAACAAAGATAAGCCAAGTACCCGTCATTTAAATCTAAGCGGTCCAAAAACTCCTGTCTACATATCGGAAAGTCTCACATCCAAGACTAAGCGTTTATTCTTCCTGACAAGAGAATTTGCTTCGACATACGGTTATAAATACTGTCATACGGTAAAATATTATTGCGTAAAGAAGAAGGTTCCACGCTAATAAGAATTAATAGTGAAAGTGATATAAACAAACTTAAAAGTAAAAAATGACTATCTATTTGGTTAAAAATTATTATTTTTTTAGTATTTTTCTTTAAGCATGTATTCTATAATATGTCTTTTCTTTGTAATTTTTACTGTTATGTCTCTTTTATTTTATATAATTTTAATCAAAACACAAAAACTATACCTGTAACACACTACATACAAACACAATCAGTATAAACATACTATTACCAACTAATTCAGTACTCAACATCGAATGTTCAAAAAAATTGTTCAAGTATTTCTATCATTGCACTGCATTATCATCTAAAATTGAGTATAGACTAAAAACAACGTATGAGTATCTATACTGTCTTACAAATTGCAACAAAATATGTAAGTTGTTTTCATCGTACCCCCAAATCTGGTCATATATATTTTTTTTCTTTAAGTAAATACGACAGAAATAAATAATATGTTTATTAACGATGAACTAGAAAGCCTGTTAAAACCTTCATGTTTTAAGATAGAAGACCCTGCTAAGTGTTGCACCATTCTAAATTTAAATAGTAAAGATCCCTTAAGTATATTAACAGTAAATATCCGAGTGTTAATCGGAATATTGACAACCTGCTTATTTTCATTACGAGATTACAGGTAAGACTTGATGTTATTGTGCTTACTGAGTGCTGGATAGATGAGGACAGAGAAGTACCCTCAATTTCAAACTATAAGACATTCCGTACTGAAAAATCGATAAACCAAAATGATGGTGTAATTGCTTATGTCAAACGGCAGATTATTGTAAATGCCTACGAACCTACCCCGAGTGATGGAATTTTTTTGATCTTAAGCCTTGGTACGGAATACACTATAGTTTGTTCGTATAGACCTCCCTGTTTCAATAATCCCACAAACTATTTGGATGCTCTAAATGCTTTATTATGTAAGATTGATTGTACAAATATTATTCTCACAGGCGATATTAATTTGGATATTTTACGAGAACCTATCTCGTTACTCATCCGAATACATAAGTATGCTCTTATCTCATAGTCTATTGCAATATGTTAATTTACCCACGAAGAAAAACGCGTGCTTAGATCACTTTATGGTAAAAAGCAT